CCCCCCTTCTGATTTTCCCTCGAATCCCAGCTTCTGATTTTCCCTCAGATCCCATCTTCCGATTCTCCCTCGAATCCCGGCTTCCGATTCTCCCTCGAATCCCAGCTTCTGATTTTCCCTCGAATCCCATCTTTCAATTTTCCCTCAAATCCCAGCTTCTGATTTTCCCTCGAATCCCAGCTTCCCATTTTCCCTCAAATCCCAGCTTCTGATTTTCCCTCGATTCCCAGCTTCCGATTTTCCCTCGAATCCCAGCTTCCCATTTTCCCTCAAATCCCAGCTTCTGATTTTCCCTCGAATCCCATCTTTCAATTTTCCCTCGAATCCCAGCTTCTGGTTTTCCCTCAAATCCCAGCTTCCGATTTTCCCTCGAATCCCGGGTTCCGGTTTTCCCTCAGATCCCATCTTCCGATTCTCCCTCGAATCCCGGCTTCCGATTCTCCCTCGAATCCCAGCTTCTGATTTTCCCTCGAATCCCAGCTTCCCATTTTCCCTCAAATCCCAGCTTCTGATTTTCCCTCGAATCCCAGCTTCCCATTTTCCCTCAAATCCCAGCTTCTGATTTTCCCTCGAATCCCAGCTTCCCATTTTCCCTCAAATCCCAGCTTCTGATTTTCCCTCGAATCCCAGCTTCCCATTTTCCCTCAAATCCCAGCTTCTGATTTTCCCTCGAATCCCAGCTTCCCATTTTCCCTCAAATCCCAGCTTCTGATTTTCCCTCGAATCCCAGCTTCCCATTTTCCCTCAAATCCCAGCTTCTGATTTTCCCTCGAATCCCAGCTTCCCATTTTCCCTCAAATCCCAGCTTCTGATTTTCCCTCGAATCCCAGCTTCCCATTTTCCCTCAAATCCCAGCTTCTGATTTTCCCTCGAATCCCAGCTTCCCATTTTCCCTCAAATCCCAGCTTCTGATTTTCCCTCGAATCCCAGCTTCCCATTTTCCCTCAAATCCCAGCTTCTGATTTTCCCTCGAATCCCAGCTTCCCATTTTCCCTCAAATCCCAGCTTCTGATTTTCCCTCGAATCCCAGCTTCCCATTTTCCCTCAAATCCCAGCTTCTGATTTTCCCTCGAATCCCAGCTTCCCATTTTCCCTCAAATCCCAGCTTCTGATTTTCCCTCGAATCCCAGCTTCCCATTTTCCCTCAAATCCCAGCTTCTGATTTTCCCTCGAATCCCAGCTTCCCATTTTCCCTCAAATCCCAGCTTCTGATTTTCCCTCGAATCCCAGCTTCCCATTTTCCCTCAAATCCCAGCTTCTGATTTTCCCTCGAATCCCAGCTTCCCATTTTCCCTCAAATCCCAGCTTCTGATTTTCCCTCGAATCCCAGCTTCCCATTTTCCCTCAAATCCCAGCTTCTGATTTTCCCTCGAATCCCAGCTTCCCATTTTCCCTCAAATCCCAGCTTCTGATTTTCCCTCGAATCCCAGCTTCCCATTTTCCCTCAAATCCCAGCTTCTGATTTTCCCTCGAATCCCAGCTTCCCATTTTCCCTCAAATCCCAGCTTCTGATTTTCCCTCGAATCCCAGCTTCCCATTTTCCCTCAAATCCCAGCTTCTGATTTTCCCTCGAATCCCAGCTTCCCATTTTCCCTCAAATCCCAGCTTCTGATTTTCCCTCGAATCCCAGCTTCCCATTTTCCCTCAAATCCCAGCTTCTGATTTTCCCTCGAATCCCAGCTTCCCATTTTCCCTCAAATCCCAGCTTCTGATTTTCCCTCGAATCCCAGCTTCCCATTTTCCCTCAAATCCCAGCTTCTGATTTTCCCTCGAATCCCAGCTTCCCATTTTCCCTCAAATCCCAGCTTCTGATTTTCCCTCGAATCCCAGCTTCCCATTTTCCCTCAAATCCCAGCTTCTGATTTTCCCTCGAATCCCAGCTTCCCATTTTCCCTCAAATCCCAGCTTCTGATTTTCCCTCGAATCCCAGCTTCCCATTTTCCCTCAAATCCCAGCTTCTGATTTTCCCTCGAATCCCAGCTTCCCATTTTCCCTCAAATCCCAGCTTCTGATTTTCCCTCGAATCCCAGCTTCCCATTTTCCCTCAAATCCCAGCTTCTGATTTTCCCTCGAATCCCAGCTTCCCATTTTCCCTCAAATCCCAGCTTCTGATTTTCCCTCGAATCCCAGCTTCCCATTTTCCCTCAAATCCCAGCTTCTGATTTTCCCTCGAATCCCAGCTTCCCATTTTCCCTCAAATCCCAGCTTCTGATTTTCCCTCGAATCCCAGCTTCCCATTTTCCCTCAAATCCCAGCTTCTGATTTTCCCTCGAATCCCAGCTTCCCATTTTCCCTCAAATCCCAGCTTCTGATTTTCCCTCGAATCCCAGCTTCCCATTTTCCCTCAAATCCCAGCTTCTGATTTTCCCTCGAATCCCAGCTTCCCATTTTCCCTCAAATCCCAGCTTCTGATTTTCCCTCGAATCCCAGCTTCCCATTTTCCCTCAAATCCCAGCTTCTGATTTTCCCTCGAATCCCAGCTTCCCATTTTCCCTCAAATCCCAGCTTCTGATTTTCCCTCGAATCCCAGCTTCCCATTTTCCCTCAAATCCCAGCTTCTGATTTTCCCTCGAATCCCAGCTTCCCATTTTCCCTCAAATCCCAGCTTCTGATTTTCCCTCGAATCCCAGCTTCCCATTTTCCCTCAAATCCCAGCTTCTGATTTTCCCTCGAATCCCAGCTTCCCATTTTCCCTCAAATCCCAGCTTCTGATTTTCCCTCGAATCCCAGCTTCCCATTTTCCCTCAAATCCCAGCTTCTGATTTTCCCTCGAATCCCAGCTTCCCATTTTCCCTCAAATCCCAGCTTCTGATTTTCCCTCGAATCCCAGCTTCCCATTTTCCCTCAAATCCCAGCTTCTGATTTTCCCTCGAATCCCAGCTTCCCATTTTCCCTCAAATCCCAGCTTCTGATTTTCCCTCGAATCCCAGCTTCCCATTTTCCCTCAAATCCCAGCTTCTGATTTTCCCTCGAATCCCAGCTTCCCATTTTCCCTCAAATCCCAGCTTCTGATTTTCCCTCGAATCCCAGCTTCCCATTTTCCCTCAAATCCCAGCTTCTGATTTTCCCTCGAATCCCAGCTTCCCATTTTCCCTCAAATCCCAGCTTCTGATTTTCCCTCGAATCCCAGCTTCCCATTTTCCCTCAAATCCCAGCTTCTGATTTTCCCTCGAATCCCAGCTTCCCATTTTCCCTCAAATCCCAGCTTCTGATTTTCCCTCGAATCCCAGCTTCCCATTTTCCCTCAAATCCCAGCTTCTGATTTTCCCTCGAATCCCAGCTTCCCATTTTCCCTCAAATCCCAGCTTCTGATTTTCCCTCGAATCCCAGCTTCCCATTTTCCCTCAAATCCCAGCTTCTGATTTTCCCTCGAATCCCAGCTTCCCATTTTCCCTCAAATCCCAGCTTCTGATTTTCCCTCGAATCCCAGCTTCCCATTTTCCCTCAAATCCCAGCTTCTGATTTTCCCTCGAATCCCAGCTTCCCATTTTCCCTCAAATCCCAGCTTCTGATTTTCCCTCGAATCCCAGCTTCCCATTTTCCCTCAAATCCCAGCTTCTGATTTTCCCTCGAATCCCAGCTTCCCATTTTCCCTCAAATCCCAGCTTCTGATTTTCCCTCGAATCCCAGCTTCCCATTTTCCCTCAAATCCCAGCTTCTGATTTTCCCTCGAATCCCAGCTTCCCATTTTCCCTCAAATCCCAGCTTCTGATTTTCCCTCGAATCCCAGCTTCCCATTTTCCCTCAAATCCCAGCTTCTGATTTTCCCTCGAATCCCAGCTTCCCATTTTCCCTCAAATCCCAGCTTCTGATTTTCCCTCGAATCCCAGCTTCCCATTTTCCCTCAAATCCCAGCTTCTGATTCCGCCGGGGTGGGAGGTGGTCAGGATCTGGCCTCCCATGTTGGCCTGCAGGGCCGAGAGCTGCTGGGGTATCTGCACGGCGGAGGCGCCCGCCAGTTGCCCGGGGAGGAGGAACTGGTTTTGGCCCTGCAGCATGGCCTGCGGGACGTGCTGGGCGGGGATGACGATGCTGCTGCCCTGGTTCAGCAAGTGGACGCTCATGGGCTTGCTGAGGGCCTGCTGCTGCGGCGGCGGCTGCTTGAAGACGTTGGCTGGAAGCCCTTGGGGGAAGCCCGACAGCACCACGTTCTGCCCGGGTTTGCTGGCCATGAAGGTCAAGTTCTGCTGGGCCTTCTGCTGCTGCAGGGCGGCTTCGTTCTGGATGGTCAGGGTGGTGTTGTTGGAACCGAAGGGCTTGGGGGTGATCTGGTACAGCTTCTGCTGGAGGACGCCCGCGGGTTTGGGCTGGATGGGGGTGGGCGTCCTGTGAATGATGACGTTTTGGGCCTGCACCAAGGGGCTGCTCAAGTTCGAGGTGACGGTGAGCGGCTGGGAGCCCTGAGTGCCAGAGACGCTCCCGAACATGGAGTTGCCGTTCAGCGTCGTGGTGGCCACCGTCGGCAGGTTCTTCTGGATGACGAGACCGGCGCTTTGCGGAGAGACCCCCGTGGAGGCGAGGGTGACCTGCTGCTGCTCGGGTGCCGTCTGGGTGATGTAGCTGCCCACGGGCATGGTGGCCACCTGGGAGGGCTGAACCTGCTTGGCGATGATCTGCTGCGCCGACTGGTTGATGGCCATCACTTGCTGCCCCACCACCTGGATGGGCCCGATTCCCAGTGTCCCGCTGGGGCTGCCGTTGGGCAAGCCCTGGAGGTTGGAGATGGGCTGGATGGTGACGTTGCCCAGGCCGACCTGCTGGAGGAAAGGCTGAACACTGATGGCCTTGTTGACGACGTCGGCTCCGACCGATTGCTGCACCAGGGCTTGGGGGGTCAGGACGGCGGGTTGCTGCAGGCCGATGAGGTCGGCCCCGCCGGAGAAGATCTGCGGGGTGCCGTCGGAGGCCGTCTGCACCACCGGCTGAAGGGTGGGCAGCTGGAAGGAGCCCAGGTCCAGCTCGGCCTCCGCCTCCAGCGTCTGCTCGGTGATGTTGGCCTCTTGCAGGCTCTGCTGGAGGATGTCGCAGGGCTGGGCCGGGTTGGGGAGGTTGCTGGACGGTGACCCCAGGATGTCATCTTCTAGGAAGTCGAGGTCCACACTGGTGGTGGGCTGACTCTGCTCGGTGCTCAGGTGGTTGCCGGAGGGCTCTTGTACGTGCAGCTGGGAGAGCGCGGGCCATGGTTGGGGGGGAGAAGAAAGAAGAAGACATTGAGCTCAAGCACGGGGTGGGAGGAGGGCGTCAAATCGACCGGCTCGAGGGCTTTTGCGA